AGGAAAATTAAGTTATGGTTTACCTGCTTTAGTCTCATTATCTTTGTCTTTCCCCTGAGAATTTTATACTTATGAATTGTGATTTCTAATCAAATCTGTTTAATGTATCTTTCACCCGATTTCATGAGTGGTATCATCTGCTCTTATTCAATTATTTGGCACAGTGCGTTGTTTTCCCAATCTGTCCATGAGCATCATATCTCACTCCGCCATAGATACTTACACAGCATCCACTATGTGTAAATTTGAACTGATGAGCCGACATCACAGGACTCAGGCCATTCCCATAAGAGCTCCCCATCTTCAGCAGCCAGCGAGGAGTTCCGACACTAATGGTGCCAGTAGAATTAGGATAAAACGTCTGTCTTGCCTTTCCTCTGAGCCTCGAGCATCTGCCAGAACCTCTCGTCACTCTCCCCTGCATCAACGTCACCGGACTGTGGTGATCCTCCGAACTGTTCACGCTCTCCCACAAGGCACTAACCACGTCTGCCTTATCATGTATCAGTATTTAACCAAGTTGTGCAGAGCCAGCCAGTCTCACTGCCTGTTCATTTCTCAACACACCGGCGTGCCCCGGTGAAAAAATACCAGACAATACTCCTTATCTGTGTCCTCCACAGCGAAGCATGCCACTCTGCATGAAACCTGCCTGTCCTGATCTTCCTTAGCATGCTTTCTGAGTCAGCTACAATCAGGTTGCGTGTGTGTCGTGTTCTCTAGCCAGCGGAAAGCTGCAGTGACCCCCTCCACCTCCATTCTTAAGCTGGATGTTGTGTTATCATATGTGTAGATGTCCCTGTTCTAATCATGTGTCACTAAGGCTGACATCATCTCATTTTGACGAGTGAGGTTTTTTTTTTTTATCCCTCTTCCCACAAGCTGATTACCTTTCCAGGATTATGAGCTCTGCTTTCTCATATTTTCTGTCAAACTTTGTTGCTTCAGCCTTTGTTCTTAGGGGACAGCGGTTCTCAACCTGTGGGTCATGATCTCTTTGGAGGTTGAACGACCCTTTCACAGAGGTCGACGGAGACTACTGAAAAACACATATTCACTGTGAAGTTATGAAATAGCAATGAAAATAATTTTATGGATGGGGTCACCATAACATGAGAAACTACTGAAGATTCATCACATTAGGAAGGTTAAGAACCACTGTCATAGGAGATTTCCAGGGTAGATGTTGTTTGGTGTGCAGTGTATCCATCATCTGGTTGGAAACGGTTGAGACCATACAAAAATATTTACTTAAAAATTAGCCTGCTCTTTTTCGACACACACATAACTGCTGTAGCTTTGGCAGAGCCGAATCAAATTGTCTTGTGATCTAAACATTGACTACACCTGACACAGACATATTTCCTTTTAAGGTTTACGAGCTTTATCAATCCATGTATAGTTTAACTCAATTTAGCCAGTCAGCCATATCATTGCCTAGGGTGTAGTTCTTCTTTAGCATTCCGAGCTCTTGAGGTTCACCACTACAGATATCACCAGCCTTTTCTCATCTCTCTAGTTGATATTATATTTCCAGCTGGTGACACCAAGTGTTTGTAGGTCTGTCTGGACATTATCTCTCCATCGTCTTCTTGGTCTGCCTCGTAACGACCATTCAGCTCCCTTGTGTATTAAACAGTTTTTACCACTCTGTCATTTTCTCAACATGCCCTAGCCATTTCAGTCTATTAGCTCTCATGATGCCAGTGATCAATGGTGATGTAAACATTCTATGAATTTTGTTGTTATTTTTCACTTTCCATTTCCCATTGTTTGCATCTCTGACAAAGACTGTTTTTGAAAATTTTCAATAGGGCTTCATCTCCTTTAGCTATGCTCCAAGTTTCAGAGCCATATAAAACGACTAGTCTTATTAATGTTTTATATATTTTGATCTTGTTGTTGCGAGACAGAGACTTTGATAGATGTTGAAAGGCATAGCATACTTTATTTCCAGATTGTATTCTAGATTGTTTTTATTCTCTTAGCAAGTCGGAGCAGTAGAAGTTTGCACCCAAGTACTTATATGTTTCCGTTCGTTTGATTTGTATATTTAGACTTATATTTAGCCAGATTTTATATCCTTTCTCTGTCTTGTTTTATGATTGATAAAGCATGCGCCAAACCTATAGCAGTGTTGTTGAACAAGTATAAAAAAGGTAAGCACACAATTGTTTGTGTAAATAATCTTCACATGTGTCTAACTCCTTGAATGTTGAGTGATTTTAATAATTTTTTGTGGCGCGGTGTTATATCACAGGCGTGAGGGGAAGTTAAGTCCAACATGATGTGTATAAGGAGATACTCCGTATATTACTCGGGCGCCAGTCCTTCACTGTTCTGGTTTTACAGAACCTCACGCAAGACCCCTGCAGCATGTCCTCCTCGTGCGCCACGGATAATGTCTGAAATGAGCATTAACAGAGCTGTCAAGGGATCTCGGAGTTTGGCGGCCCCCAGAGGTGATGAGTCCATGTGGCTCTAATCAGCCCGCCCCCAAACACTTGGGTGAAAAAGGTTATCAAACTCATTAGGTACATGAGTATGCTTGCCAAACGTACAGCTAAAATCACAACCCTTGGTTAAAAGATTGCGGAGTGAAGAGAACATTGTTCACTGTACATCCTCTGTTAACCCTCAGTGTCGTCGTCACCGCGCTGAGGTACACCACAACAGCAACTATCCATAGGCTGGCCATCCATGTACATCCTCGGTTCACCCTCAGTGTCGTCGTCACCGCGCTGAAGTACACCACAACAGCAACCATCCATAGGCTGGCCATCTATGTACATCCTCGGTTCACCCTCAGTGTCGTCGTCATCGCGCTGAGGTACACCACAACAGCAACCATCCATAGGCTTGCCATCCATGTACATCCTCGGTTAACCCTCTGTGTCGTCATCACCGCTCTGAGGTACACCACAACAGCAACAGTCCATTGGCTGGCTAAGCCTAAATGTCCGACAAAACTAGATCCTCCGGCACACGAATAAGCTCAAAATTAGACCATCACAATTTGTATTGAACGGAAAAAGACCAAATGTCCACACCCAAAGACCCACTCGCCCGAGTGTTGGGACCAAACTGATAACGATATGCCTGACGCAGGATGTAAAATTATGTTGGGCTAACGGCTCGTCAAAGAAGTCTAACGCGCGAAGAAAAAAGAATGTACCTATTCGGGTGGTCACAAAAATCCAAAATCCAGGGGCTGCTCCCCATCGACTTCCAGAGGGCGCAGCCCTTGTCGAGCGGGAAGCCTAATACGGTTGTGAGGTTAAGCAGGCATGTGCAGGACGTGACGATTCCTTGGGTGAGCCCAGAACCAGAGCGCCATGTGCCGGCTCTGCATACATGGAAGCCTCCTTGGATGGCGGGGAATGCCCATGATCTGCCCCTGCCTTCCCTTGGCTTACCGTTCCACAGGGGGCTGCCCCAAAGGGGTACTCCGGGGGCAATACCTGCGGAGAAGGAGACAAAGTGGACACCACACAAAACAATGGCCACAGTCATCCTAGAAATAGGCCTGACGTCTTCCTTCGAAGTCGGAGTACAGCTGCCCATGAGGCAGGGAACAGTAAAACGGTTGTACATGCAAAAATCAGGTCCAGGTGAAAGCCAAAAGTCCAAGCGGACGATTAACCTTTACCTTCTGCCGGAATTCACAGCCGGTGAACGATTAAAAAATAAAAAAAAATAAAATAATTTTTTGTTGTAATACTGACACTTAAATAGTTTAGATTTATTCTGCACTTATTTATCTTCAATTTGATATATTATATGTCCCGATACTGCCTTTAATTTTTCTTCAGGAAGATTTTAGCTTTGCCATGTTGCAGTAAAAAAAAATTAAGCTCAAAATTAATGCTGTCCAAACCCAAGAAAAAAGTTTGTCCTGGAAGAGATAAAAATGGGTTTAATGACTCTTTAAATTATTGGGGTAATTTCTCCGTTTTCCAAACTAGTTTTATTAATTCATACATCATTAAATTTAATGCATGGCCACCTTCTTTTATAAGTTCAGCAGCAATTCCATCAGCACCAGTTGCTGTATTGTTTTTAAGCTGTGTTACAATATATAGTACTTCATCAAAATCAGGTTCTTTAATATTTTAAATATTATTTGGCTCACATGTTAGTATCTCTTCCTGTAGATAAGTATTTAGTGGAGTTTCAAGATTTAACAATTCAGCAAAGTATTCCTTTTATCTGTTACATCATCAGTTCTCGTTGTGCCTAGTGGCACATGAGGCTTCAGAGAGGACTTTCCATGCTTTCCTGTCCTGTGCAATCTTCAGTGCAGTTTTCCATGTCAAAGATGCCGCACACAGGTCACTTTCCATCGTTCGTCTCCATGTTGTTTTTGGGCGCCCCTGTTTTCTCTTTCCCTCTGGTTTCCATGTGAGAGCCGTTTTGGCGGGTAAATCAGGATTAATTCTCATAACGTGGCCAAGCCATTTCCATCTTCTCTTGGTAATCATAATGTCTAAAGTTTCTTGGTTTGTGGCTTGAAGTAGTTTGGTGTTTGAGATTGTATCTGGCCAGAAAATTTTGATAATTCTACGTAGACATGTGTGGTGAAAGGTGAACAGCTTGTGTGTATCCTTTTTGGTTATCTGTTACATACTTCCTCATTATTATTTATTATGCTCCCATTGTGATCTTTGAAACTAAACTATATATGCGGTGTTGACGCCCTCGTTTGACAGCTTTCAGTTCTTTAAAAAAAAAACAAATTTTCTGGATTCGTTGTTCTGATGGTTAACTTCCATATCCAAGTCTATTAAGTTTCGTCGTTTTGCCACTGTAAGAAAGTGAGATACTGATTCATAAGGTGAGTATAAGATGAGTCAGACCTAATCAAGTTACTCAAAAATCTCTGGCATCATCATCGCTGAATTCCACGACACAACAGCAGGCAATCTGCCAAAACATGGGCGCTGGCATCCTCTCACATTTATATACACACCAATAGAGATATAAATCTAATAAATACTTACTGACAGTCGTTTACTACCTCCTCCTGGGATCTGATCTGCACAGGGGCGAAAGTTTCCACCTGTTCCTCCAAATTGTTGAAGCACTTTGTTATCCTTTCATCAAACGAGTTGACTAAATCCTCCAGGGAACCCGACACAGTTTCTGCGAAATTGGCACTTTCATCGCCATCAAGATTTTCTTTTAAGCTGGATTTATTCAGAGGGCGGTTGGCGCAGTTTAGACTGTCTACATCTGCGGTCTGAAATTCGTTATAATCGCTCCATTCTTCGTTTTCGAAGGATGCCAACGGAGCTTCAAACTGCAACTCCGCCATCTCTGGAACCCTCATCCTTATTCATATGACCTTGACCTTTTAACCTTTCACCCAGTTGGAAAGGAACTGCTGTATGTTGATGGCACTGACCTCGTGACCTTTCACTGATGCAGCAGTGCAGACAGTGGAAGTAAGATGAATAAATGAACAAATTGTTGTCTCTTCATCAAAATGTCCGTACCCGCACAATACTGCATGTAATGCTTAAAGGATAAGCTTAATGAGCTACAGCTCAGGGCTTCACAATCTATAGGGACTTTTTTTTTAAAGACACCCCCCCCCCCGTCACAATTGCTATTTTCTACGTACAGTTTTATTTCAACCTATTTTAACCAACCAATACCCCCGCCCCCCACTCCCACCATCAACCGAGAAAAGTTCTAACGTTATAAATATAATTTTGCTAATACTATCTTAGGTTTTTATTGATTCCAGCTTTTTGTAGCTTATTTAAAATGATTGACAAAAATCAGCTACATATATGACATTGAGTCTATGTATGTATGTATGTATGTATGTATGTATGTATGTATGTATGTATGTATGTATGTATGTATGTATGTATGTATGTATGTATGTATGTATGTATGTATGTATGTATGTATGTATGTATGTATGTATGTATGTATGTATGTATGTATGTATGTATGTATGTATGTATGTATGTATGTATGTATGTATGTATGTATGTATGTATGTATGTATGTATGTATGTATGTATGTATGTATGTATGTATGTATGTATGTATGTATGTATGTATGTATGTATGCATGCAAGAATAGACAGCGACATTTGTTAATTGTTTTAGGAGAGAATATATAGCAGAAGAAGAAGAAGAAGAAGAAGAAGAAGAAGAAGAAGAAGAAGAAGAAGAAGAAGAAGAAGAAGAAGAAGAAGAAGAAGAAGAAGAAGAAGAAGAAGAAGAAGAAGAAGAAGAAGAAGAAGAAGTGGGAAAAGACAAATGGTCACGCGTGCTAACAACTGTACCACCTATACTCCCACTGAAGTCATCTGCACAAGAAAAATAGTTCGTCTTGCTGTGGGGACTCTTCTGCGTCCGTCCTACTGGGATGGTGTGTCGTTATTTACAGCTAGGCTGCGACACTTGAGCATGTCGGCCCAAGAAATACGAATTCAGCAAATCCTTAATTAGTTGTCATTAGTAGCAAGCTAGTTGGTAGGGGAGGGGGGGGGGAGTTAGGTCTATCCAACCCCTCCACCACACATATGAGGTCCTGAAGCCCACACGGGAAGCTGACGATCTGAATACTTGGCTTCCCCGGGTGGGTTCTGAGGCCCCATTGTAGTGAAAAAATAGAAAAGAGTTATGAGTTAGATTATCTTCACAGCACTCCGGACACATCCATAGGCGCTCAGATTCCCCTCTCAACATATTACATCAGCGTCGTGCGGTTAATAGTGCGTCTTATGTTGGTTAACAAGACTTCGTGTGCATCCGGTGTGCTTCTCATGCTTGGCTGTGCCGATCTTTACTCCCAATTCGCGTATTCTAAGCAGTGATGTGGACACGTTGCTTCCAAAATCCTCAGAACGTCCTATCTCTCTAAGGGCAATCACAATGTCTGCGTGATCTATGGGCCGGCCATCTTCAATTTTTGCAGCACCTGCCAGTCTATCAGCTTTTTCATTACCAACAACGCCTGCCTCGACCCGCCGGATCATGCTCAAGGAGACACTCAGCACACATACGCGAGAATAGTCTGTGATTCTAGCCACATGGAAGCTTGTGTCACCGCCATCGCCTGCTAGTGGTCATGGAGAAGGCACCGCTGGCTTCTTGAACCGTTTTGCCTGAAGAGCGAACTGTAAATGCCCATGAACTCTTATGTCCTCCTACAACAGACCCATCTGTGGAAATCACATCTGTCCCATCTGACTTGTCACCGACAAGCGCGCATACACACACACATACAGAGAGAGAGAGAGAGAGAGAGAGAGAGAGAGAGAGAGAGAGAGAGAGAGAGAGAGAGAGAGAGAGAGAGAGAGAGAGAGAGAGAGAGAGAGAGGAGAAGAGAAGAGAAAACAATAGCAATAAATATAATCAACACATAACCATTTCTGTGATTTAGAATTTGTTTATTCAAGAATTCAACTAAAACTGATGGTGATGAAAACAAAAGTAAAGGAACATAGGAAAGCAACCAAATCTGTCTCACTGGCTCTCACAAATCCAGATGTGGCTTCTCTTTACCTTGTACACACTCCATGTAGCGCAGGCAAGCAGTGTAACAGTGTTGTAGATTTGTTTTGAATGCATAGTCAAGGTAAGCTACAGTTAATCATGTACTATGTCAAAAAGTGAGAGAGGGTGGTCGTATATCTTCATGGATCACCAGTCTTAGATCAGGTTTGGTTTTGTATCTTCATTATGCCACAAACTTAAGCCGTCTATACATTAATCTCTGATGACATCCCATGATCTTTTATCATCTAATTTATTAGTTGTTGTCACTAAATTTGCAAGATATTTCCCTGCACATCATTGAAGTAGCTGGCCGAATGGTTAGGGCGTGGGGCTTCCATGTGGAAGACCAATGTCAAATCCTTGGTAAGGTAAAGAAAGCTTTCTCTGCCCTAATCTCTAACAGGCCTCCTCAACAGAAGTTAGGACTGTCTCAGCAGCAGCCATTTATCTATTCAAGACGATAAGACATCTTCAACAGATGTTATGATCTATTTCAGAGTCATCCCCATTTAGCTGGATGTCACATTGTGGCACTTCTTTCTGCTTGGAGGCAATCATAATTTCTGATTTCTCACAACTTAATTCTAACCCTAGTTTTTCCTTATGTACAATTTCAGTTTTCACTAAGTGTTGCAGATCATGTTCTTTGCTTGAAACCAATCCTATATATCAGGGCTTTTTAACTGGCGGCCCATGGGCCACATCTGGCCCGCGGAGGCCTAGCAAGCGGCCTGCGGATCATTGCAAACTATTATATTCATGATCTTTCTACGCTAGGGCTCAGGACTTTGGCCTGTGATGATCCTTATTTGCAAAATCTTGGCCCCTTGATACACTTAGTTAAATAGCCCTGCTATATATCTTTATATCTTACACCGTTCCTGTTATACCTTCTTCATCAGCACTTCCTCTCATTTCTTTTAAACTTCTCATAAAAATTAACATGGTATAGGAAATCATTTCTAGGGACATTACAGACGCTTGTGACACATCTTACTCAACTGGCAGGTGGTACTGACCTACTTCATCACTCATTTTTATTACAGGATGTTGTTTCCAAGATATGTTCATCACAAGTTTAAGGTCTTTCCCATTAATTCCGACATCCCCTAGCAGTCTTATCATGTCAGTATATCTCTCTACATCAAAAGTCTTTGTGGTCAATTTAGGCAAAGATGTCGGTTTTTGTTTACTGCTAGGAGTCCCCATTGCAGAGCGACAAGCCGCTCGTCATGGATCGGAAGGTTGTGGGCTCGCTCCCTGGCAGAGTCGGAATTTTTTTTAAAAATGACCTTGGCTCCGAGGTCGACCCAGCCTTGAGTGGGTACCAGGTGCGGTCCCGGGAAGTAGAGGTCATCTTGTGCCGATTAGTCTATAAAAATATAGGTCTAGCCCGATATGCCCTATACGCCTAAAGGCGTGGAAAAGGGTCCTTTACTTTTGTTTAGTTCTAAAAAATATGCACTCTAGTGAAACAGCATGTGGTTTCCAGGATATGTTCTTCACAAGTTTAAGGTCTTTCACATTAATTCTGACATCCCCTAGCAGTCTTATCATGTCGGTATATCTCCCTAATGTTTTCATGTCAGTATATCTCCCTAATGTTATCATGTCAGTATATCTCCCTAATGTTATCATGTCGGTATATCTCCCTAATGTTATCATGTCGGTATATCTCCCTACATCAAAAGTCTTTGTGTGGTCAATTAACCAAACATGCAGGTCTTTGTTTACATCTAAAAAAAAAAAAAACAATAGTAAAACTCATCATAACATTCAAAGATAACAAACCAACAAAAGAAAATAACAATGCACTGGGATTATTTTTAAAGTAACATTTGCAGAAAACAGATGTATAAAAAATCAACAAAGGTTTAAAAAAAAAAAATCAATGGTAGCTCCTGTTTGTATTTCAGGTAAAAAAAAAATGTTTAAGGACAATTGTCATTCAACAACTGTATAAAATACGAAATCAACAGGCAACAGCCAAACATTTGTGGTTAGTTTGGATCGTCATTTCATAATGTAGATTCCCTCACAACATTTTCTTACATGAAGGAATCCATAAATACATTTTTTTTTTTGCAAACGTACACGAATTAGTGGCACCACAACGGTATTTTGTCTTTGACAAAAAAAAAAAAAAAAAGAAAAAAAAAAAGAAGGAAATGTCTTTATAAATATAATTACCAAAAAAAAAAAAAAAAAAAACAAACAAACCACAGTTGTCTTTATAGTGGAAGTTGGCTGCTTGAAAAAAAAAAAAAAACAAAAATTTTAGTCCTTTCTTCATGGTGGAAGTTAGTTGCAGCAGACATAAGCATCCATAGTTGTCTCCGGAAACAGTACGCAGGGAGGCACCAGTCATGTCCACTCTTGTACCATTGTCAGAGAAAGCCTTGAGAATGGAATGGGAAATTAAATCCTGGCATGTAGAGGACTGTGAAATGCGCTCACTAATCTCCAAATGAAACATGTTCCCAAAAACAGGAGGGGGAAAAAAAACCAATTGAGACATCACTGTACTGGAAACTGGAAAATATACAAATAAATGTGTCTGTGTGTAAAACGAGAACAAAAGGAAAACACAAAAAATAAAAAACACAAAATATACTTTGCCACTGAAAAAAAAAAAAGACATTAAAAAAGACCAACCATAAACTATTGAGATGTTTTCTATGTTAGGCAGCATGCTGAAAACTATGGAGTAAACAAAATGCCTTCTCTGTAGTGTTGTGATATAAATCCTGGCACTCCATTTACGCAACATGGCTTATAGAAAAATGAGAATACAAACCAGATACATTA